TTCTTCTAGGAGACAATGGGTAGCCATCTTGGGACAATTTCATTTTTAGTTTTAGTGAGAGTTTTACGGTACCTGCAACACAATAAAGTCAAATAAGTGCCGGAGATTAGAGGTGTTACAAAGGAGTAACAAACATAAAAAAGAAGGAGGAAAGATCAGGACGATAGACGTTTGATAGGAAAGAAGGAACAAACCACACCAGAGCATCTGCCAACCACCCACCCTGGACAATTTCGACTGTGGCTGCTACTCACTTGAACTTTAGTACTCTCACACGTTCCCTCGCTTCGTTGAAACACACAAAGCGATATATATTCGCTGCCGCCTCGCAGTGTAAACCTTCGAAATGTCCCCCCCCCCCCCCCCTTTAGAAAAGTTCGTTTAAGAAAGAGTTTACAGCACTTGCAACACTAATTAGGTCATAGAAGTACTGAAGATCAGGTGTTGAAAGAGAGTAACAAACACAAAAAGGAGGAGGAAGGGAGATGAGCATGATAAATCTTTGACAAACACAAAAAGGGGGAGCAAACCACACAGAGCACCCGCCAACCACCCAATATATTCTGTAAAGTGGGTGAATCCCGGCATAATGTGCTGATGGCAATCAACGTTAACCTAAACAGAGGGCTTGTCAAATGGTCGCTTTTAAGGACAAGCGGGCTAACCCAGATTTCGGGGGTTTCCAGAAATATTGACGTACACCAAACGTGGACATTGCCCTGCCAATAGGAGAAGTTTCGTTTCATTGGTGTGTTTATTTGCTTGGTTATAGAGAAAACTCTCCTTGTCTTTCAAAGAGACTGAAGAAGGACACAAAAACTTTTAACTTCGAATTTCTCAAAAACAGCATTTATCGGGATAGCCCCCTTGTGCTTAAAAGCGACCAAATGTAAGCATGACTAGGGTGGTACACAGACAGGAATGCTGGCACACACATAAAAAATACACAGACAAGTAAACAGAAAGAAAGCGCCCTTGTTCGTTTGAGTTTTGAAAAAGGAGCACAAATACACATTAACGGTCATTTAGTACTGGGAGAAGTAATACAGAGAGACATAAAATAGGAAAAAGAAACTAACAAGTCGGGAGTTACCAGAGGCACCCTAAAACCACCCACCAACCACACAAGAAAAAAAAAAGAGAGAGAGAGAGAGAGAGAGAGAAAGAGAGAGAGGGAGGGAGGGAGGGAGAGAGAGAGAG